TTATGTACGTATAGTAGTACACACTACTTACTTCTATATATATATATATATATATATATATATATATATATATATATAACCCGTTACCTTAGAGATAAGAGCATAAATTTCTTTGTAGATGATTTCATTTCCTTTTTGGCACCTTTATGAGATTTATATGTGCCATACTTCAGCAAACTCCCACCTTTTTTCAAAGTTCCAATTTTACTTTTTAGTTGTTTTTTGTTGGGAAATTATCAAAAATATACGTTAATTTTTAATTTATTAGAAACAAAATCCATACTTTACTCAACGTCTTCTATACCCTTTTTTCAATTTTTTTATTATTTTTTTTATCAAAATAGCTTTCACAATAGTTATATGACCATAAAAGCATCACGGTAGATTCAATATCGTAATGATCTTAATGTTTTGAAACATCACGACACTTAAAACACCGTGATGGCTATAAGAAGTATTACAGCATTCAAAGTGCTATTATGATACCCCATTATGGTTTGGAAAAAAGTGTACGCAGAAGGGCTATGGCCGACAGCTAACCATAGGATAGCATCATATCAAGAGTGACCCTCAATGGCATCTAGCATTCCTTTTGATCCAAAATAAAAATGCAATATGCAAGATGAAGGAGTTTTCAATTATCAACAAAAAATTTTACTTTCTTAATGACTATAGCCATTTGCTTATATATTCCGTCTAACCATAACGACATTTTAAGTATTGTGATACTTTTCATAGCATTACGATATTTTAAATGTCGTGATATTTCTAATAGTCATTACGGTGTTTTAAATGTCATGATGCCACAAAACATTAAGACCATCACGGCATTGAGTCTACCGTGAGGCCTTTACAGTCATACGACTAATACAAAAGCTATTTTGGTCAAAACATATAAAAAAACATAAAAAAAGAAAAAAGAGAAAGAGGTATGGACTAGGCTTAAAAATATGGATTTTTTTCTAATATGCTAAAAATTAAAATATATTTTTTATAATTTCCCTTTTTCCTTCTTTTTTCCAATCATTCCTATCTTGGCCATTTGACCTACACTGCTAAAGCTGGTATAATAGTGAAAGACCAGTCTGGTTGGATGCTACATGTATCACAACATATTTTTCCAAGCGAAAGTATTACACTAGCTAGCAAACAAGCCTTTGGCATAAATGTTTTGTGACAATTACAGCTATTGGGATATAATTGGTCGGGACTTTTATTGGGATGTTTTTGTGATTCTCTTTTACCACGAATATATACGTAAGGGTGTAGTTGGCATAAAGAGGTGTAAAATGTTATTCGGATTATCTCAAAATCTAGTTTTATATCTAATTATAAAATTTTAAATTTCAAAAATGGTTAAATTCAAACAGATATATAAGCATATGAAAATCTTGAAAATAGACAGGTAGATAATAAGTTGTAAAAGGCACTATTTTTTAGATTTAAAATTTTTTTTATTTTTCGATGATCAATCAAAGAGTTTTTCAATATTAAAACTACCTTTTCCATGGATTTTTGAGAGGCATGTTTTACATTATAAGGTAGCATCCTTATATAAGCTTTTTCCTATACTTAATTATTAGAGTAACGATCCCGTGAGCCCCTCACCCATACAAGCTGCATAGGATTTGAGGGGCATGTTTTACATTATAATAGCATCCTTATATAAGCTTTTTCCTATACTTAATTATTAGAGTAACGATCCCGTGAGCCCCTCACCCATACAAGCTGCATAAGACCCCACTTCTGTACTGTCGGATGTGCATCCATATCTACAGAAAAAAAAGGGACGTCAACTCAGAAGTAACTGGTATTAAAAATGTCAGTTCAAAAAAAAAAAGAAAGAAAAAAAGTATGCAATCCCACGCTCTATAATGGGATAAAAGCACTCTCTTCCCCGATTAAGTGCTCTCTCTCTCTCAGGGGGAGCACATGCTCCTGTTGGTTCTGCGTTTAGAGAAGTCATACATAACTATTTACAAACCCCTTTGGCCTTTCTTTATCTTCATTGATTTAGGTAACTTCAATTAAAAAGACATCCGACAAGATTGGGTGGCCAGAAAATGGGAGAGGGAGACGTCAGGTTTTCCGGCCAATTCTTGTTTGCAGTTATTACAGGACTAAAGATTCATCAGAAGTTTGTTGGCCCGATCTCACAAAGGTTGCATGGTCCGAAGCAGCGCAGCAAGCATTTTAGAAGTTCAACCTGGGTCCAACCTGGCGATTGTCCCATGTCAAACTTCTACCCCCATTTCCTGAATCCGTCAGGCTGCAATCCTGTATAGCAAAACAAATAACCAAAGGTGAGTCTCCGGCAATTAGGGCGTGAGCTAGATTTATCAGTTAATAGAAGAGGGTTCAGACTCTGCTCATAAACTTTGCTGCAACTTCCCTTCCAAGCCTTGGCTATTCTCCTCTCTATATCACCCTTTCTGTCCACCTCGTCCCAACCACTCTCCTGATGCTATTACTGTGTCCCTCACACATGTGACCTCACCTCACCCCCACCCCATCCTCAGAACACCCCCGCTCATGCCTGCCGCTTCCCCTCCGCTACAGAAGACTTCCTCTGCGACGACGAATCCTTCTTCCCCTTCATCTGTGAACATTGTCTTTGTGAACAATTTGGATTGTGCTCAAGGTGATATCAACAAGGTCCTCAACATTATGGGCTTTGGAGATACTCCAAATAATCAAGCCGGCTCTTCAAAGCCCCACTCCATCAGAGAGCCTAATACCACAGTTTTGGGAAGTATTGGACGCAATTGCTGCTTTGCTGCCTCGGTGCTGCTATTTGGGAGGTGATTTCAACGCCACACGCTGGTTCCATGAAGGCACCACCTCTTCAAGGTGACCCCCTCGATGTCAAAGGTTTTAGACTTCATCCCCAGAAACCTCTTAATCAACATCCCCTTAGAAGGAACTTGCTATACCTGGTCCAACCATTCCACAATCCCCTCCCTATCCAAACTGGACCGATACCTAATTTGCACCTTTTGGGACTCTATTTCCCAATAACCCATTCCTCTGATTTACCCAAACCCACCTCTAATCACAAACCCATCCTTCTTGACATCGAAGGCATCCATCGAGGTCCAAAACCCTTCTGCTTCGAGCTCGCTTGGCTAGAAAAAGCAGAATTCCATAACCTATTACCTTCCTTGTGGGCCTTCCACACTCCTTCGGCGCAAGTTACAACTGATGCGGCATTCCCTCAAGATTTGGAGTCAAAACTTACTAGGTTATTTCCATCTACAAAAATCCAACAGCCTCCATCTCAAGATCTGGAGTCAAAACTTACTACGTTATTTCCATCTACAAAAATCCACAAGAATCTCCTCCTTGCCCTAGTTTTTCTTAAACACAACTCCAAACGGGAGTTAAAACCACCTGAGGGGGAATCTGAACTCTTCTAGCCCTAGTTTTTCTTCAACCAACTGAACACAACTCCAAACCGGAGTTAAAACCACCTCATAAGAGGGGGAAGGAGGGGGAATCCCAACTCTTCCAGCAAGTGAGCTTCCACATTTGGAGAAATCAAGAAAAGGCCTAAACTTGAGGAGAAATAAGCCCAGCAATCCAATAATGAATTCCCATGTTTAGAGAATGTATAATCAGGAGAGAGATAGAGAGAGAGGCCAACATGTGTGCAGATTTCCAGACGAATCCATCATATGGTTAGAATAAACCCAAAATTATCACCATCTAATTTTGCATCTGTGTAGAGGTTAGCAAGTTTTTCTGTTCTTCTAACCTATACTATACAATGCAGAACAATGAGAAGAAAGAAGCCAAAATTACAAGGAACACAACACAAAAAATTGACATTCAGTTCTTCTTTTCCAGAAATATAACAAACGAAGAGTCAAGGAATTCAGGATTTAATGGCTATTTAGCCTATTTTAGACCATAGACTCAGCATCAATTTCTTGGCATTTCTTTGTTTCTCTTATGATATTGAACAAATTTCCAACCTCTTCTCCAAAACTTAACACATACCTCTCTAAGAACACCTTCTCCGATAAAGTACATATTGATGATAAATTTGCATCCTTTTCCAGCAATTTTCTCGACCTCAACACTTTTCAACAAATTAATCCTTGGGAACAGCCTTCTTTCTAAACTATAACTGAATATATGTGGATGAAAACACAGATATTTCTCATCATATTTAAGTTCGTTGATGAAATAATCCATAGTCTTTTGCAACTTCTGTTCTGATAAAGAAAAGATTGGAGGCATCTTTTGGAAAGCGGTGCAAATACCTTCTTCTGACCACCCAAAGCTCTTGAAGAAATTAAACTCAATAGCTTTTAGAGTGAGATTCAACACCCAATTCCTTAACTTTCTCTGTGATTTCTGTTAGCCTAATGGAATTCACTTCAAATAAGTGTGGCTTTTGCAATAAGAGTGCTTTCAACTTCAAGCCCCCAATTCCCTGGCTCTCGATGGACCTAATATTGGGCAGCAGTCTCTTGGACACCACTATCGAACTACGACCTTAGAAACTTCAAGACATCTTTGGATTCCAAATAGTTTTTAAGGAAGCTAATGTTAGGGAGAAGTCGTTTGTCTAAGCTATACATAAGAATGGTCGGATTTGCAGAGATGAAGGCCCCAAGATTGAATTTAGAAAGACCCAAATCTTCAAACAATTTAAATTCAGAAAGCTTCCTTCTCCAAAAAGCTTTTTTGCAAAATACACAATGTCCCATTTTCTCAAATTTTGATGGGTTCCTGATCACCTGCAAAACATATGCCCTTTAGGCTACCCCATCTTCATTTCTCACCTTACAGAGCAAAACCCCCAAATTAAATGTCAAGTTTGCAGGCTGCTATAGAGTTCCAAGGAATTTGGCCTTCTTTTGGCTACAAAGGAAGTGGATTTCATTTGGGGGTGAAGCCTTGCATTGTTTCAGGGAACTCATCAACGAGAAGGTAAATGGTCAGGTCGTTAGTGGAGGGTGGCTTTGATAATGCTATGGCATCAGCAGAAGCCTAATGAGAGCCAACATTTGGTGACCCCCACAAACAAACATACCCGTGTGTGCCCTCGGTCAAACATTTGGTGACCCCCATATGGTATTTGTCATTTGCAAGTTACATTTATAAATCTCAGGAAGTAGGTAGCTTCTCTACAAATGTGAAAACTGACTAGTAACCAAATGATGCTCCCTATATTAGTTGTGACAACAAGCACCCTTCAACTAGATTAGTATCATCAATCACCACCTCCGCTGTCGTTGAAAAATCTGAATGATGCAAGTTTCAGCTGTAGTAGAGTTTCGAATACGAGATCCAATCTTCCAGCTGCATAACTTCCACGAAAAGCAGATCTCAGAGGTAAAATAACCAAGACAATATTTTTAATCTTCATCAAGATGCCTCGAATTTTGTGATGGCAGCCAGTTTACACTATCTACACACTTCATACTGATGATGGGGCCAGTCCTAATGGAAAAGTAATGGCTACAAGATTCCATAAATGATTCCAGGCATTGCTCTAATAAAGCCCCAAGCATTGTCTTCCAAAAGTTCCAAGGAAGCAGAGAAACTCGAGAAATGCCAACACTCCATTAAACAAGAATTTGGAGAGTACATGAAGAGTCATATGTAGAGAGAGCTCCAAGCTAACCCTATTTTTAAAATCAATCCAATTTTTAGAGCCAACTGAATTCTTGAATTGCAGAATCCATGACAAATGTAAATGCATTTCTTGAATGTTTTTTTTTGAGAGAAGCATTTTTTGAATTATTCCCTCCACAACCAATGCCTCAATCCTTAAATTCCAAAAAATTTCTCATATAATCAACCCAACTCAATTGTTGAGGCAAGAATCATAAAAAAAGGTCCAAGAAACAATGAAATGGCAGCTTCCCAATTAAAGAGGCATTTGAAGATGACATGAAAATTTTGAAGAAAAAGAAATCCACCCCATGAATGAGATTTTAATAGCTAATTCACATCACATGCCTTAGAAGAAAAGTAGCTGCTACCTGCTGAATTATTATCTCAACAACTGATGCTTCCATCAATAGATTCCATCGTTTCTTATGTAACTAATCCAACCCAGTTTCTAAAACCAAGAAGTAGAGAGCGAGAACGGAGAAACTTTCGAAGAGAGAGCACAATGAGGGGTTAGGAGGAGTAGGTGGTTGGATCTGGTTGAGAATCCGAGTTAGAAAGAGAGTGAGTATTCGCATAAAAAGAAGCAACCAAATCTTATTAACCAACAGCTCTCATTTTGGGGGAAATCATCCATTCAAAATGTGTGTGTGTGTGTGTGTGAGAGAGAGAGAGAGAGAGAGAGAGGAGGAGAGAGAATAAGAGAGAAGAAGTAGACGTCCTCCGCCGTAGTAAGTTCGGTTACTACCTCCGACGACGTAGGTACTACTACTACCGTAA